GGGGATTGCAATCAATGTCATGAACCAAAATGTGTATGAACTGTAGAAAAATGAATTTGCTTTGTAAACATTCACCCAAATCACAAGGAAAAGAAAAGAAACCCTATGGGACAGTTCTACTCTATTCTGTGGGTTTGCTATGAGTCGGAATAGACTCCATGGCAGTGAGTACCCTCCCCTCCCCCAAAAAAATGAAGCTCATTGGAGCACCTACATCATGGTGTTTCATGAGGAGTATTAAGTGAATACATGCCAAGAGCTTAGAACGGTGCCTCGCACATACTAAGCACTCAGCAATGAACGTTGGCTGTCCTTAGGATTGGTTTGCAGTTGTCATTGTCATTACTCCGAAGGGTTGGAAGACCCAGGGCTGCACGGGCGGAACCACACTCCCCATGGCTCCCGCCCGGAGCATCGCCGGATCCTGACGTCCTGCCTGTTACCATTTCCGGACAAAGCCAAGGCCTGGCGTTGTGCCCAGCAGCCCCAGCCACAGTGAGGGTGAGGCCGGGCCACCCAGCGTACAGGGGCTTCCGCCATCCCCAGGGCATCACGGACGCTTGGATATTCTGGGCTGGCATCCAGATGCCAGAGCAGGCAGCTGAGCTGACCTCCGCCTCCCTGAAAACAGGCCAAAGCCACCATCCTGTCGGGGTGCTTTGGGACTAGGCGTGGGGTGGACGGGAGCCAGCCTTGGGGTCCCTCTGGCAGTGTAGCGTGGACTCTGCCAATCACCCTGGCCTTCCTCAGTGGTCAAACCCGGAGGCTCCATGGCTGATTTTACAGAAGTAGATTTTTCAGGCCTTTCTTCCAAGGGGCCTCTGCGTGGACTTGGAACCTCCAACCTTTCGTTTGCAGCTGCATGTGTTAAGCGTTTGCACCATCCAGGGACTCCTGGAGGGAATTAGTTTACTAAATCATGGCACTGCCAACCAGCGAATCACTGCACGGCCACATCCCCAATTGTGCCCTGTAACACTGGGATTCCTCATTTGGGGAAAGAATGGGTTAAAGGCCTCTCTGTTTTCTAGGAAGCTATGTCTCCATATGCATTTGTGTTATATGAGCAGACGGTATAGGAAGCCCTTAGCACCCTGGAATCCGTGGCCCTGATAAGGCTGGCATTTTGGCATTCCAGCTAATGTAAAAATAATGTGGCATTCAGCATGGTACATGACCCTTTTTTGCAAGGGTCAAAAATGCATCTATTTGGAGGCAGCATATGATAGCAGCTAAGAATGACGCAGGCCTAAACAAAGGGGGGGTTTGTCCTCAGAAGAATTGGAGGAATCTCTTAGCCAGCTCATTGGGCGCTTCCAAGTAGTGATGCACAGAGTCGCAGCGGGGGCCTCCCAGGACTGAGTTTCATGGCCACACAGTTCCTGGCTTGTTGGTGATGACCCCTGGGTCTCAAGGGCTGACCCCTGTGTGAGCCCCAAGCCTCGGCCAGTGAGCAGAGGAGGAGTGGAGTGACAGTGAGCTTGGTAGAGGGAGAGATGATAGAGGGTGGAGGGTTTCCTGCTAAAGGAGGTGGGAGAGTTGGTGCTGGGGGAGAAAAAAAGTTACAGTTGTGTCAACCTCCTGGCGGCCTCGTGTGTGTGTCAGAGTCATTGTGCTCGATCGGGTTTGCAAAGGCTGAGTTTTCAGAAGCGGCTAGCCAGGCCTTCCCGCCAAGAGGCCTCTGGGTGGACTTGAACTGTCAACCTTTCAGTTTGCAGCTGAGCATATTAACCTCTGGCACCATGCAGGGACTCTCAGTGTCCGACAAATGCTATTTAAAATGAATCTACTTCAGAAATATCACTGGCTGCTCAAACCGTTGGGGAGAAAGTTTGATGAGAGGTAGGATCTTTGCATTGTCTTAAAATATCTCCCTACAAGTTACTTTTTAACTACCACGGGAAAATGTACAGTGGAGAAATTGGGCAGATCTTAACCAAGTGATCAAAATTAGCCTCACCAGTGATGGAGTGCCAGCTGTCTGGGCCGTCTGCTCTGAGGCACTGAGAAGGACACCAGCATTCCTGTGATGTCCCAGCCCCAAAGACATCACCTGAGTGCTGTCGAGAGCAAACAGCCCGCACAAGCTGAGGCCATTCTATGCAACAGATGGCCAGTGCTCTCAAGTGATACCATGTCGTGAAAGACAAGGAGAGACCAGGGAACCATCCCAGAATCAAAGAGACAAGGGAGGCCACCACCGTCTGACAGTTTGTCCTGATGTGGTGGCCTGCATGTTGCTGTGAGGCTGGAAGCTATGCCACTGGTCTTTCAAACACAGCAGGGTCACCCATGTGGACAGTGTCAGTGGAGCTTCCAGACTAAGACCAGGAAGAAAGACCTGGTGACCTGCTTCGGAAACTGACCGATGGAAATCTAGAGAACACTGTCCAATACAGTGCCCAAGATGAGCCCCCCAGGTTGGAAGGCATTCCAGATACACCATGGCCGTGACAATGGCCCTGAACATGCCTACGATTGTGAACATGCTGCAGGGCCCAGCAATGCTTTGTTCTGTTGTACATGGGGTTGTCATGAGTTCAGGAACTTGATGGCAGCCAACAGCAACAACAAAAAGACAACAAAATGGAACATGGCACCTTGAATCTGATGCCCCCGGGGGGGGGGAGCCATAAATGATATTATGGGACAATTGGAAACATTTATTTATTTTTAACATTTTATTGTGATTTGGGTGAAAGTTTGCAGAGCAAGTTTGTCTTCCATTCAATAGTCATACACATTTTGTTTCATGACATTGACTACAACCCCTATAATGTAACAGCTGTCTTCCCACTTCCTCCTCGTGGTTCCCTTTCCCTATGTCCTTTCCTAGGCATTCCTGCCCTCTGAGCGACCTTCCTGTGCCAATGCTGCCCTTTTGACCTTCCTTGATTGACTCTTCCAAGGAGTGCACCCACCTGGTGTAACTGTTCACCTGGTAGGCCTGCCTGTTGTTTGGCTAAATGTTAAGCCATGGGACTGAGCTCAGTTCCAGACCTGAAGGGTAACTAGGAGCCATAGTTTCAGAGGTTTCACCAGTCTCCGTCAGACTAGTAACCCTGGTCTTCTTCATGATTTTTGTTCCACATTGTTCTCCCAGTCTATCCAAGATCTCCTGTACTGATCCCTTTCTGAGTGGTTGGCAGTGGTAGCCAGGCACCATCTAGTTCTCACAGTCATGTAGGCTGAAGTTCACGTGGTCCACTAGTCACTTGGACTAATTGTTTTCATGCGCCTTTGGTTTTCTTCATTCTTTGCTCCAGATAAGGAGAGACCAGTTGTATCTAGGTGGCTGCTTACAAGTTTTTAAGACCCCAGTCGCTACTCACCAAAGTACAATATAAAACGTTTTTGTGTAAGCATAATTCAAAATGCACCAACATCAGAAGAGAAGCCAGATGATTGGGACCTTCTAAAAATTAAATGTTTATGTGCTTCCAAAGACTTCTCCAAAAGAGTCAA